CAGCGCCAGCTCTTTACTTTGGTCTGGAAGAAATTAAACCAGCACGGATTCGAAATTTCGACTCATTGTTTGCCAGGTGCAAACTAAACTTGCTGCAACGTGATTGAGCTAAAGAACGTTAGATTAAGAAAGGAGGCACAGAACCAGAGGAAATAACACTGGCTAGGGATGGAGAGGACAAAAGTGAATCGTAGATAACGAACGCGAAAGGTTTTTTACGAACATTTTTGTGATTCTCAAACTTTGATGTTGCTGCTGTAAAACTATTAGTGTGGGAGAGAGGAATGCATTGCAGGTTGGTTGGAAATTGACTTTTCTACATCAAAGAAAAATCATAGTTGGTGATCGATGAAAATTTTGCTGTTGACCCTCACAGTATTTATCGTCACCCACCACTGACATTGCAAACACAATTTGATTAGGTAACGCACTTGTAAATGTGTTAAGAGTATTAATATCTTGTGTTGAGTCGTCTTCAGAGCTGTTGTGATGTTTCAGTCCCTTTCAGAACGAATCTCATAGATTACTGTCGACAAATTTCTCGATATGTCTTTTCAACGGCACAAATAGTCATGGATAAGATAAAAAGTGCTGTTACATTGCCCATTTAATTATTCTAGAGCGTCGATGACTTCGAAAGAATAGATTGTGAAGTCTGTCTTTTTGACTGACTCCAGACTTGAAGTAACTGAAGTATTGCAAAAAAAGCCGGCTACCGGTAGTCTACCGCCTCTCATAAGGGCTCCTACTGGCATCTATTGAGCCTTCGAACAGGCTGTCGTGTTTGGGTTTCGCCGTAAGACCCCTTTTCGGGTACAGCCGCCTATTACATCATCAGCAGCCCCTTTTGGAAAATGTTATTGAGACCTTGCTCTTTCTATAAAGGGGTCTAGTCCATTATATATTTGCCTCAGCTTTTCCTTATACTACCGGTAGTTTTACTTTTTATACTCTGGGGTCGAGAGAGACTCTGTGGTAAAGTCTGTAAAGTTGGGTTTGTTGGCTATATCTAGTCTCCAGCCTTCTTGCAAATAACTCTGCAAATTAGGTACTCTGCCACTAGTTTGAATAAACTCTCATGCCGTCTATCAAGCCCTATGGTGCAGCGCATGAAAACAACCAGTGTTCTGCTAACAAAACTTTGAAATGGTTCAAGCAAAGTAAGTTTTTTACGTCTTCAACACCAGTAAGTTGAATCTAAGAAGGTTAAATGTTGAACTCAGTTTAAACACGTAATTGTCATCGATATTTACACGAGTGAATAAACACGAATCAGTGTTACTGAACTGTTTTAACAGATTACAAAGGAAAATATTGTCTCAATTTTCTCAGCTGCAGTCTTTTTCTAAATGAATCAATTTCGGACATATTTCTTATTGCCTCAGGGTTAAAGCCTTTGATATGGCTTCTGTTGTGTACCCCGGTATTTTTAACAGATCATTAACGTTCTACTCATGACAAATATAAGTTCGGCTTTGTTTAAACGCTCGCTCTCAAATAGACTAATGGCCCTGCAGGAAGACTGAATATTCACCGAATTCCCATAGAATGCCTCATGCATATACAAACTTAATGAAAGTGTTTGAGGTTTGTTTACTGAGGAATGTCATCCGATTCCAAAATTGTTTTGGTTTTTAAAAGGCAGAATTTTCTGAGGTTGTGTATTTTATAAAATTCCTAAGTCAGAAATGTTTCCTAGCGTCGCAAACCTGGCGATTATATGATATACACAAGCTCAGAAAATTTGTCCTCTAAAAGACCAAAGATAGTTTTGGAATCGCTTGACATTTCGCAACAAATGTCTGATATTCATAGGAAGTTTGAAAGAAACTTTCAGCGGAAATTCTGCGAACATTTCAGACTGCCTGGCAGTTAATCATTGCGTTACGTTCAGTAATATCTCAAATTTATGACTTACAGTTAAAAACTCCCTCCTTCCTAGTAACCTAATCTTTCTGTTCCGAATACTGCTAACTTTCAAAGAGTTACAACTGCCAGGGAAGAGAGTTACGAGTAGCATAATTTTTAATGTGTTTAGTGTTAGAGCATCAGAAACAATACTGTTTTAGGTTCAACTCCTGGTGAAAACTTGCACTTGGAACTTGGGCTTTTTCTGTGGATTATGGCTGGGTGATCAACTGAACAACACTCGGTGACCTATCATGGACTGAGTCCGCCGAACATCTGCATCTCAGGCATTTGCATGGACGAATATCTGCCATCAAAACGTCTAGTAAATAAAACTCAAGGTGCAACCATCATTCTTGCGATGATTGGAAAGTAAGCCCTCCCACAATTTCACCATGTCCTTCCATTCTTGCAAGCCTCTGTTGTTTTACTTCGCTGGATGACAATAAGTAATCAAATATTCAAGAGTAAGCTGCATTTCATCTTTCAAGCGTATGATCCTCTACACTCGCTTGCAGCTTAGCTCTGAAGTTAATTTCAATTATTTCGTGTTCTTTTGGCACTACTTGCGTGAAACGGTCATTGATAAGTGCACTTAATTACGAATGATCTTACCACAGAGCAACTTTAGTTGTTCGAACAATGAAATCTAGAAGAGAGCCTCGTTGTTGAAAAGTCCATAGAATCAGAGCAATGGCTTGCCGATAATAACGCTTCATAAATTTTACGAACAAAGTCTGTCTCAGTTTCTTTTCTTAAACTTCCGCGCGAATGATCCTTTTCTGCTCCAAACGCAAGCTACCTTATTCAAAACAAAAATTTTCACACGTCTTTAGTCTGCTTTCTTCAAGTAATCGGCTCCCTTTGTTCGGCGTTGACTGACACAACAGATCACGTGGTCTGTAAATCAATACAACGCTACGCTCTGTGTCCTTTACAGGAACGAATTCATCAATCGGCGAAGACACGGTCACAGAAAAAGGTAAATTTCTCTTGTAGTTGACCGCTTTTACTCCTTTACGTTATAGGTACGTTAGAAAAACATATTCTTCGACTATTTGTGTGAAAACGTTATCAGATAATTGTTTGATCGCGCTGAAAGTAGCGTTTGAGCTTGTGGTTGATCTCGCAACTTAAGTTCAATCGATCATCTAGTACCCGCTTGGTTTGCGACTCGCCTGAATCTTCACTTTTTCGCTTGTGATTTATCCAACATAACAATCATTGAGCCAAAGTTTGTTCCTTGTAGGCAAAGTGTATTTCATATCTTTAAAATACGGGTTCCTGTCTTGACGGTAGAAATGTGGTTTTGTGTTTTAAGTGACTTGGTCGAACGCCCGACCATATATCAGGACTGTCAGTGTGGACATACAATTTTAATACTAGCTAGACTCTTCTGTTCAGTCTTCTGATACTTTCTTTATGTACCGGCCTTAATTTGCTATCTCGCTAAACGACTTAGTAACAGGTTGGTGGTATGTGGGACAAGTTACCTTCGTTTTAACTGATTGAGTTCAGGTGAACGTACCCTCTGTTGACTGTTTTCATGCATACACGCTTTTTACACATGACTAAGACTTCAGTTTACTGGGGGAACTTATGGAAGCCAGTCAAAAGCGAAACAAACATTTGACTGGGTTTTGATATGCTTATGAAGTGAAATGAGCTCGAGGTATGTATCAAGTTCGAATTTCCGTGCAAGCAATGTCCAAAATACTTCACACGGAAGAAATCCTCAGCTGTTGGTTTCCTTACTAGCAGACCACGCTTATCAGCTGCGGGAATGAAAGTTTATTGAAAATGAAGTAACATGAGACTGTATAGATCGATTGGTCAGAAGTCAAAGCTGATAATAAAGGCGAATCGCTTTTTTTTCCTTGAGAAATAAAATATCTCGCCATTGATATATAGAGAGGTACTCTACAAATACAATTCATTCTATGAATTGCTGTTCTTCCCCGTTCACGAGTGTAGTTGTTCAGTGGTCTCTCCTATCGCTAAGTATTACTTTTTGCATTTGTTTGCCTTTCCTAATTTTATTTGAAACTTCAACATTCAGTGAAGCTCATATCCTCCTAACCAGCTTCATAAAAATTAAAAGGGACACATTTACGTGTGAGCATAAAATATATTGAGCAGTAATAGTTCTCCTTCAAAGGTGTCATCAGTCGCATTTCACGGCGCCTTGTCAAGCTTTGCAGCGTGAGAACGGTTTCCTCAGTGTTACGCAGACTGTCCACAGTCACCTTAGAAGTTTAGATCCCGTTTGAAAAGGATTCGTTTTGTCGAACATTGAACCTTGTAATTTCAATAAAAGTACGATGACCTGTTTAATTCTGGAAGAGCGGACTGAAAAGGCCTTTTTCTGAAATATCGAAATATCAATTTGAGGTTACGAAACAGCTACACTAAACGGACTCCTGAAATCGCAGTAATAGCCTTGTTGGTGTGCGGAACAGAGAAGCATACCTGCAAGAAGACCTTAAGCTCATCAAATACGTTTATACAAAATTTACCCGAAGTTTATACAAAGCTCTATCATCTCACAACTTCTCAGGGACAGCTTTCACCGATCGACCGTGGCAAGGTAGTGCGTGACGTTCGCGATAATTACAAGAATATTGTCGTAGTGTTAAAACTTTCGCCCAGTATATTTCGCATTTTTTTGCTGGTTTATTTGATTTAAAACGAACAGCACACGGTTACTGTGCTACTTGTATTTTGATAGAGTCAGTCGAAGAAGAATGGTTCCGTGCCTGCTATGGTCCTTGTTATTTCAGTGCTCGGATACCCGAGCACTGAACGCAACTTGAATTCATAAAGATGATCACAAGTTTCTATCGCGTGCGTGTGTTTCAGTCATCTTCTATTTTTCTTTTTATTTTGTCGCTTCCTGGTTCGAAACACATAGCTAACCAGCCTTTTCAAGATTCTTTGAGTCCGAGGAGGCTCATCTGACCGCTTATTGGTGGTATTCCGTAATATTTTTGTGTGAGTTAGCAGACTCCATAATATATGATAATCAACCAATATACATGTACCGGTCGTCACTACATGTAAATGTGTTTTTAGTTACCATGGAAGAGAAAGACGAAATTAATTTTCGCCTGCCGATGAACACGTGAAGATGTTTTCCAATCGAATTTAAGGAATGTGCCGCATGATCTTTAGTTAGTTTTTAGTTATATTTTGGACAAGAAAGCCAGCTTACTTCGAGTTCAATCATCTAAAGTGTCTTCCCGAAATGTAGGTATGCTAGCATGACTTTGTAATGCATTTAACAATTGCGCACACTATTGTTGAAGCTACAATTGCTTCAAACTCTACAAATAACAGAGAAACATGTTAAGACTGAGAAGACCTCAGGTATTTATTCTATCAGGAAATCAATCTCCCCGTGGCAATGTATTTTTACTCAATTTGCATGCATCCTACGACAAATTTAGGGCCAATTCGTTCTATATTTAGCATCAGCACGCAGGAATTAAAGTGCTTGTACATTTCTGTTGAAATTGACCACTTGGGGTTTAAGTGCTTGTAATGGTACGCTTGAGGCTAGGGAGGGTGAAGAAAGAAAAGGATTCCAACGTGCTTAGTATTTAAGTGTTTCATGATCAGGGTCTCATCTTACGGTTAACAGAACTACTTTGATTTCAAAGATCTAGCCGCCTCAACACTCTTTCCGTTTTGAATTTTTTTTTTTTCGTTGATGAGGTCAAATGTTGATAAGATACAAAGCTGAATGACATTTTTAAAGCAACGATGAAGCTTTTCTGTTCTCCTCTGAAAGAAAACAAAGATTTTAATCGGTTATCAAGGCTAAGAGAGTAAAAGAAAGATGACCAACTAAAGAAGTTCTTGATTTTTAAACAAATTCTTCTTGTCAGTACCTCAGTACCATAGGAGATGACTAGGGAAAAATATGAAGAATGTGCACTGATATTAGGGTGAGAAGGCTTAAAAAAGAAGACTGATTTTATTATACACGAGTGCGAGACGAGCGAGCTAATGACCTTGCAAGAATACTTTTGAGAGTAAACTACTGAACATACAGTTCAAGGAGAATCACTGGCAACCCGAGAAACTGTCCCGTTAAGCTTTGACTCCGAAGACCGGACTAGTAATTCTCCCTTTTAGCGGCGTTGTATTTCGTTGTTTGTCACGTAGGAGAATTTAGAGTTAAATCAGCACAATACTCTATGGCTGATAACTTTGCCCACTCTTATTTCTCTCTCAGTATTAATATGAGAACTAAAAAGTTGATCACCCTTTGGGAGTGATAGGGTTCATTAAGGCCGGGAATTTACACCGACATTCTTAGAAGTGCCTCGTATATTTACAAATTTAACCAAAGTTGGTTGTTTTTTATTCTTCTTTCTCCAGCTTGTTCCTACGACTGAATCAAGATGTCTCTTCGTACGATGCAGCTTCAGGACTTAAACCCTCACATTATGTGCGTGTTATGCGGTGGATACTTAGTGGATGCTACAACCATTGTCGAGTGTCTGCATTCGTGTAAGTAGTGAGACGTTTTTACAACTTCTATTTTTAATGGATGTTGCTGCTGAATGTGAGCGAGAGACTTTAGAAGAGCCAGCAGGCTTGTTCTGCTTCCTCGTTTGTGAAGGTTTTGATTGTTTTGGTTTTCCTGATTCCCCCCCGTTGGCATTCAATTTTCTCAGTATAGCCCTCTTCATACTCTGCGGTTGGCGACGACTGATTCCCCCTCGGTTCCCCCTGAAAACCATATGATCCCACAAAATCCTACCCTCTTCCCCTCCCAGGCGGTAAAGAATGACCTGTTCCTTCTATTTACTGAGAAAATGTGACCATCTAACACTTCGTTATTCGGACCAAAACAGTTGATCTGGGCAAGAATAATTAACCCTTAAATCCCCAGGAGTGACAAAGGGAGAACTTTTCCTTACAATATCAATTAGAAAAGTGATGAGAATAAAGCAGAATTGGGGGACTTAAAGTTGATCCGTTACTAAATTCTCCCAAGTAATATCAAGTGATTTTAGGGGAGACAGTAAGAAGAAATACGAATCAGATCTTGGGAGTTAAAGGGTTAAGTCACTTAGCTACAGCTTTGAATATCAAAACACTAAACAAACATTATGAAAAGAAAAAACAGAGCAAAACGAAGAGAAATAAGAGATGAACAAAAAACAACAACAAAAAAACCAACCAAACAAATAAGTACACTCACAAACAAGACGATCCGAAGATTCATTGGAAAGAAAATGAAAAAAAAAAACTTGAAATTGAAAATAATGTTATTAAGACATGTTCTTGACTTTTGAACTGTTATCAACTTAGTTGGATCGCTTAAGTTTTTTTTTCTGTTTTTATCTCTAGTTTGTCGCAGCTGTATCGTTAAATATCTCCAGACATCATATCACTGTCCTGTTTGTGATGTTGAAGTCCACAAAACTAAACCGCTTCTTCATATTCGGTGAGCATAATGTAATTGCAGCCAGTCCTTTACAAAGCATGAGGCTAGTATCAAGGTACGTTGCCCTGACGCCTGGTAAATTAAGACATATCTGTGTTTCATTTTTAGACCTGATAGAACTTTACAAGACATCGTTTACAAGATCGTACCTGGTATTTATCATGGTAAGGAAAAAAAATACTCTTCTGCAGACGGTATTTTATTTGTGATGTTTGGTTTTCCTCATGAACTTGAAACTTATTCATGAAATCGTTGTCTTTTCAGAGGAGGTTAATAGGCGTAAAGAGTTTGAAGCGAGTCAAACAGACAAGAATGAATCAGGTTTGTATTTTACAGTTCAGCCTTATGTTACTCTAGTAGGTTATCTGTGAATAGACAGTGCAGTGAGCACTAACCGTTGAAGGAAAACTTTCGTAAATGATAAAGTTAAAAAAAAAAAGGTCCTTTTATGTGAACTTTATCGTGAATGTATCCAATTGTATTTCCGAGGAAAATGAAGCCAACTCACACACTATCCCCGCATTTACTTTGATATTTTCGTAACTTTATTCTGTAGCGTTCCCCAAAAGAACGCAGTAAGCTCACAGCCCTTCTATTCAGTTCTATGGAGAAGTTATTTTATTCCAATTAGATATTTGTTGTGCTTATTTCATGATTATTTCACCTTTCCCACTTTTTGGCCTTACCATATTCCCCAGAGCACCCAACGCCTTCACTCCCTATTATGACGTCTTTCTTCGCCTACCTCAAGTTGTTGGGCATTGTTTATTGCTATATAACACCTCATTACCCATCCCTCTTTATGCGGCCGCATTACAGAAACTTTTCTCTCCCTGATGATGTTGTGGATCGGCGGAAGCTTAGAAGCCTATTGCTTATTGTTAGGACAGTGGTAAAGACCTCATTTGAAACCATCATACAACTTCTTAGAATAGTTTACAGGTCTTGTACGGCCGTTTTCACGATCGTATAATTAGAATTACGAGCTGTTTTCGTGAACGATTAAGTACGATTTTGCTTAGGGTGTATCAGTAGTTGGAGATGTTGTTTTCTGTTTCTCACAGCTACTGACGAGACAGCAACGTCAAATGACCAAGAAAAAGAAAATCTTCCTTTCGAAGATCCTGTCTGTATAACTCTTGAATATTTCAGGTACAAACCCAATTTGACTTCTTTTTGATCTGATGGAGATGGGAGGGGTGATACCACGGGGGTTTGTACTTGCATTCTCCCACCATATTTTGCGAATCCAGAGACTTGCAAATCTCTACTTTTGTGCTTAAAATGGTTAGTGGAAGGGTGCTAGAGAGAGTTTCGTTGAAGGAAACCGATAAAGATTGAGAGCTAGCTCGTGTCGTTCCACTGCGTTACATATCGTACAGGGACGTTTGAAACGCAAGCTAAAATATTTTGTTTGATTCGATTTGATTTTATCTTTTCTAGGAAAACAAGGAACCGGATGGAAAAGGAGGTAAAGAAATGTTCTTTATTTTCTACTTCACGTTTTGAAGAATCATACGATGGTTTTCCGTCACCCAATATGATATAAGAAATCGATCATCTCAATATACTTTGCATTTCCGTTATGATGACTTCCGCTCACGTAGTGGAAACGATAGTGAATTTAAACGACGAAAATGGTTTTCAGGACTATCTTCACCTTGACGATCAGACTATACGATCGGATTAATTCGCTACGCATACAATGTATGGTAACCTCGTTCTGTACGAACCCCCTTTTGAACATATTCCTATTAAAAGAATTTGCCGTTCACTGGCTCCTCGTCATTTTGGAATTTCCTATATTTGGGTTATTGTAATTCATTTTTAAAACCGAGTGAGCTAGTGTGAAGAAAAATGTTTACATTTTGCTTCGCAGGTCTTCCCAACGCGTTATCTGCGTTGTTCTTCGGAAGTGACTGTAAAAGTTCTGAAGAAATTTCTGGTCATGAAGTTTGCTATTCCTGAAACACACATAGTAAGTAAAAGTGATGTTGACTTGATAATTGGCCTGTTAAAATCGTGACAACACCTTATTAGAAGTGTTGCGGCGTGACAGCACCGTAGTCACGAAACTGTAAAATGAACGATGAAAAAGCCATAACTAAAAATGTAGTCATCTTTTGACCATTTAAACATTGCCTTTTCCTTGAAGACTTGCTATGATAGATGATGGTTTTCTTGTCTTTTTTTTTTTTGCTCAGATGATATTTTCACGATTTTTGACGTTTTCAACCAAAATCTTAGTCATTTTAGAGACTCTCACTAAAAATAATTTCACTTAATTCAGCATCTTCTTTACGGCTCCTTTTTTCAGACTGAGATCATTCGTTCCGATGAAATCTTAGATGGTCACCTGACTATGAAAGAAGTGTGCAGGATATATGGCCTGTATTCCAAGGTAAATAAAACCGGAAACGCACGTCGCCTAAAGGAAATGTATGCAGAGAGTTAAGGCTCTGCGGGAAAAAAACCAAAGCTTCAAGCTACAAATAAGAAAAAAAGAAAATAAAAAAAAGCGTAACATATTTACATTGTG